TCAAGTGAGGATACAATCGGTGTCTACAATAGCTGCACACAAAAGTGAGCAGTAACCAGAGAAGAGTGTGAAAGTGTAACAGAGGAGCCTGGGAGGTGATGTAATCCTGGAAGCCCGAGCCGGAGGCTGCAGAACCCAGGATGTGGAGGCTGGAGGCGGGAGTCCAAAGCCCTGGGCTGGGCAGGGTGAGCAGGGTTCCCACGGCGTCGGGTGCCAGACCCACCCGGTCTCCCTGCCCTCTCCGGCAGCACTTCTGTCTAGTGCCACTCAGGGAACCAGAGTGAAGGGCCCACCTTGAGCGGCATCTGTGAGATACACCCGTAATGGTGGGTCGTTGAAAAAAGTGATGAAAGCTGTGGATCCCTCTTCAAGATCCCAGCCAATGCACAAACGTTGCACATAAAGGTGAAGATTCACAGATCCTCCTGGAAGCTGTTTAACTGGTTCTCTTTCTCCAAAAGCATTACTCAGCCCATCGGAAGAACCTAGCCTGGGTATCTCAAGTAATTCCATGGTGGGGAGAATTATTTTAGAAGGAGCCAGAACCCATTCACACTCTTGTGACGTGCTGATCTGGCCCAGAAGGTCCTCCAATCTGCCACTCCTGCTCCTGCCACCCTGCCAGGCGGCTGTTCAAAGCAGACACTCGCTGCTGGGCCCTCCTTCGACTGCCCCTGCTTCTGTGGCTCCATGCTGACTCCTACTATTGCTGGCCTCTTGGCCTCCCTGGTGGTCCTCCAGCTCAGCAATCTGCCCCTTCCCTGGGCCACATTCCTCTACTTCTTAGTGCCGGCCTGAGTCAGGGGCCATACAGTGGTGTTCCCTGCCGCTGGGAACCCTTTCAAGCTCTGAGTGGTCCCTCCAAGCCCACCCTTTCTAGGCTAAGCTGAACCAAGTATGCCCCAGTCCAGTGGAGATGGCCAGGACCCACAGCATAGCCCTGCTGCACTTCCGATGACAACTGTCAGAGCTTATGGCCATCAACCTCCACGGTGCAAAGGTGGAAGCAGCAGGGCATGTGGTCCAAGGGGTAAAAAGTGCCACCCAACTGCTACCTTTGTTTCAAAATAAGGTTTATATCATTTAACATGTGAGGTTTCTAGTACCATCCAACCCCTCTCCTCACACAAAAAGGTCTGGAGAAAAGGCCTGCACTGCCATGGACCACAGACCAGCTGCATCCACATGACCTGGGAATGTTAGAACCCTAAATTCTCGGGCCCTACTGCCCTGTGGAACCAGAAGCTCTGGAAGCTGTGCTCACACTCTACCCTCTCGCTCCCGCTCACTCCACACCCACAGTGCTCTTGCCCTTTGTTCCCACTTCTCCACTGCTGCCCGGGTCACCGTAAGTTGCCACTGGCAAATCCAATGAACATTTTTCAGTCCTGGTCTTTTGAGTCCTCTGTGCTGCTAGATTTGACCCTGCTGGTTACTCTTTGAAATCCGAGCCCCTAGTCGGTCTGCACCTTTTCTGGAGTCAGAGGCCCTCTGAGAAGTGATGGCAGGCATGGATTCTGGGGATACACACAGCTATTCGGGGGTTCGTGGATGCCATGATGCCCACCATAGACTCCTGACTAAACCTCCTGTTCTACTTTGCTGTTTTCACAGTGGCTCGTTCTCCTCCTGCTTTCTGTCCTCTTTTCTCAGCTCAAAGCTGGTACTCCGGGGTCCAACCTTGGCCTTCCTTCCTCTTTCTACCCCTCCTCCTGGGTGACCTCATTCCCATTCCTGGGCATACTGCCCTGCAGATACTTGTGGCTGCCACCTGCGCTCCAGCCCTCCAGCTGTCTGCTAGCCACCCCCACCTACATGTCCTGTAGTCACCTCAAATTCCTCAAGCCCCAGACAAAAGATCTCCATCTTAAAACGCCTTCAGTTGCTAACCCCTCCATGGACCCAGTTATTGGAGCTGGAAATCTGGGGATCATTCTTGATTCCTTCCCCTGCTGCAATACCAAACTGTGATTCTTGCCACCAAAAGCAGTCCCTGAATTTCTTCTCTCTCCACTCACCCCGTATCTGCATTCAGGCCCTCATCTGCTAGCTGTGAGGTTGGCTGTGGCAGTCTCCTGGTCCCAGGGTTTCCCCCTGATCTCCATTATTCCCCCAGCTACCAGAAGGGATTATACTACGAGAGAGGAAAGATTCCAAAGAAGGCTGTTACGGTGACCTTATTTGGGATACAAGGATTAAGTGCAGAACATTTAGGATGTAGGATTGTGAGTTATCTTAAAGAGATGTGCGGTTTCCCAGCAGTTGTTGTTATAAATGCATCCCCCAAAGACGTCCGTGTCTTAACATCTGGAACCTCACACTATGTGTGTATGCTACCATTAGAGTGGCAAGGAGAAATTGACCATTAAATTAAGGATCTTGAGATGGGAGATTAACCTGGATTACTTGGGTGGGCCCAGCACATTCAGAAGGATTCTTCTTTGCAAGGAGGAGGCAGGAAGAGGCAGGAGGGTCAGAAAAAGAGAAGAGAACAGGACAGAAGAAGAGAGGAGGGAAGGATAGAGAGAGAGATTCATGGCAGGGGGAGACTGAAGATGCTATGTTGACGGCTTTGAAGATGAAGAAAGGGGCCACTAGCCAAGGAATGCAAGCAGCCTCTACGGGCCATTTGTTCTAGTGGCAATAGGAGTACAGAGGAATTTGCTCTATACTCATGGATATCACAATAAACTCACCTACCCCCTGCCCCAAAAAAGAAAACCACAAACAAGCCCTATGATAGATCAGGATGCCAACAAGAATTGTAGAGAAAATGCCTGCATCTGTCTCTCACAGCCTTTCTGGTTTCGAGTGTGAAAATGACCGTTGTGGGTGTGGTCACAACAGGGCAGACTGTGTCCTCTGTGCTAGAGGCGATTTTTGCTCATAGCTCCCTCCCTTTGTCTATTAGATTTGAAAACCGTTCACTGGATTCTTGAAACTTTGGGGCTCATCCCAGTTCCTCTCGGCTTCACCCCCATGTTTCTAGCTTCTCTGCAAAACCCTGAGGAGGGCAGCCAGGAAAACCAGCTAAGACTGTCTTCTCCCTCAGGTGTCCCAAGACACTAAGACACTTGATGTTCATTCCTTATTGCTTAGCCTCTCTCCGTTCATTATGTGCGCCTGTACCCTTGTTCACGTAGATCGGTGTCTGGGATTACATATGCCTGGAGGCAGGGTTTATGAACCGGGTTAGGAACCCAAGAAATTAAAACGGACTAAGCCAACATCTGACAGAACCTCAGGAAATACACAGTGACCCTACAGATCCGATCACTTCATCCTACACATGATGCGATTGAAGCCCAGAGGGGTTCGAGGACTTTGCTACAGTCACAGCAAGGGAGTGAAGACGGAGAAGCCCAATTTCCCATTTATCAACCCTGCAGTGAATGGTAAAGGGCACTTCCACAATTGCAGATTTTGAAAATTAGAAAAAGGAACCTAGTGATCTCCTGCAATTTAATTAAATAGCCCTCACTGATACCTCATGCACAGAGAGCACAGAATGGACTGAAGTAAACCTTAGGAGGAAGCAGGTTTCAGGCCCATCACAGGTGCCAAGAGAGGATGTGAAGAGGAGTGAAGGGGCCAAAGAAACTCTGCCAGGGGAAATGCCTTCCCAGGCAGGGGTAGAATGAAAAGGTGCCAACCTGAGTGGAGTTATTTATAGTCACACAACAAAGGGATGACTTCAGTAATACCTCCTGAGCTGGGAGAAAAGGCAGTTCACAGATATTCAAAAGATCAAGGGACTGTGTCTAACAGTTTGCCTGAAAAACCGACAGGGCCCTCATCTGACAACAAGGGAGCGCCTGCCTGGCCCAGTTACCCTGGGGAAAATACAACTACATTTTGAGGAGAGAAAAAAAAAGTTGGAGATTCAGAGGAAAAAAAAAAAGTGGAGACTCAGAGGAATAAAGTCAGAATAATAATATATAAAATTACAAAAATACCTTTAAATGAGTTATTTGTTCAGGACTCAGACGAGTCTAACTGGAGGCATGAAACATCCTTATAGACTCAAGCGTCGATTTGTGAGTTTCTTCTTAATCTCTTTGGGAAGAGGGGGATCAAAGAGATTCCCCATCTAGATCCAGTCACATACTGGATATGGGGAAAAGATGATTTGCTCCTAGGGTTTCCTGGCAACGGACTAGCCCGGCCGGACACAGGAAGGCTATTTTGGAACGAGGGAACCCCTGACCCCAGAGGACATCTCTAGCTTCTGTGGTGGCACCAAGCTCTGTGGGGCCTGCTGCTTTAGTGCTCACTTCAGGCCAACTCTCTGAAGCAGGACGAAATCTCAGAATTTCAGCGAACAGGAATGTATTCTCTGCAGCATGGCCTTTATTTCCACCTGAGCCTCCTGGGAGCTGCTCTGGCTTCCCAGAAAACATTCTTCTTCTTTTTTTTTTCTTTTTTAAGTCTGTTAAGATACTCTTTCCCTGAGGCTGGCCACACAACATGGCTCAATCCTCTTAATTCTACAGCTCAAAGGCTTCCGCTTAAGTATGGAAAGCAGGAAAAAAAGGAAGAAATTCTTAAACATCTAAGTGAGGGAGAAAAATCCATGGGCACCTGGTGGTAACACTCCAACTGAAGAGAGCTGCTGAATATATTTAAAGCTTCAGATATCATCTGGGGTTTAGATTTCAAATCCAATGAAAATGGTCAGAGTTGTTTATTCATAAGCACAAAGACCTCCACAGGGAAAGGGTCTAATTCTCTGAGCTTCATGCCTTTCCCAATCTGTAAAGTGGAAACAATCATTTCTCCCTCAGGAATGTCGGAAAGATGAATGGGTTTGAGAACAGACCTACAATAGTGCTCGGACTCCAGGAAGAACTGTTGAAAACCCTTCACTTGGGGCACTCCTGCTAGCTTATTACGGAGCTCGGCCTTAGTCCCATAGGTCAGACAGAAGCATAACATGAATTCCAAAAGCCATACAGAAACAGTGACATGTGTAACTATATCAATAGGCAAAACAGCTGGGAGAATATTTCAAGTTACATAACATTTAATTAACATCCTTCACATAAAAAAGGGTTTTTACAAATATAAAGACCCAAAACGAGAACAGGCAAAGGAGATCAAGAGGCAAGTTGCTTTAACAGTAGAGAGAGCCAATTAAAAACACAAAAAGCCGCTCAACTTCACTAGAAATTGGCGATGTACAGTTAAGATAATGTAGCATTTGTGTCCACTGTTTCAGCCAGAAAAATCCACCTGAGGAAAAAATTTGGGGGGAAACTATTGTTAAGAGCTGGGGCCCAGTGCAAATCCCCTTCCTTCTGGTAGTTAAGGATCTCAAAGCATTTTGATTGGCTCCCACCTGCTCAGCCTTAAGAGTGAGTGAGTGGATATCCTGCCCGGGTATACAGAAGTTTTTTATTTTAAGTTTATTTATTTATCTTGAGAGAGACAGAGACAACATGAGTGGAGGAGGGGCAGAGAGAGAAGGAGAGAGAAAATCCCAAGCAGGCTCCGTGCATCAGCACAGAGCCCGACGCGGGGCTCAAACTCACAAGCCATGAGATCATGACCTGAGCTGAAAACGTGAGTCTGACACTTAACTGGCTGAGCTAGCCAGGCTCCCCTAACAGAACTCCTGATCAATTTTTCTATTGCTACATTCTAAAGTGTGAACAGGCAACCAAAAAACAACTGTGGAAAGTCTGCAACATGAAACATGGAAAAGAGAAAGATGAAAGCAAGTAAGCAGAAAAATAAACATTTCAGAGAACAAAAGAAAATGTGCAATAATGGTCCTTATTTTTTAGAGGTACATAAGGAAATGGGAAATCCTTGTGGATGAAATGACAGTATTATTAGGATCCACTTCAAATTACACCGACAGTGCTAGGGGTGGGGAAGAAATGGGTGGGGTCACAGATGGAAACACTGGTTCTATGTTGATACTATTAAACCTGAATGCTGAATACATGGGGGAAATCCTATTATTCTACTTGTCTAAGTTTGAGAGATTTCATAATGCAAAGGTGGAGAGAGAGAGGGAGACTATAAAAGAGGGAAATCTGAAAATCTCGTGGTTTCAAATATTTGCTGAAATGAAAAAAAGCCAACAGGAGAGAGTTGGAAATGAGGTATGTTTCCTGGCAGGAGGCAGGGCAGTGAGGGAGTTAAGAGAGACAATTTTACAGAAACGTAAAGGTTTATGGGTGGCTCAGTCAGTTAAACGTCCGACTTGGGCTCAGGTCATGACCTCATGGTTTGGGAGTTCCATGGTCTCTCATTGGGTTCTGTGCTCATAGCTCAGGGTGTGGAGTCTGCTTCAGATTCTGTGTCTCCGTGTCTCTCTCTCTCTCTCTCTGCCCCTCCCCTGCTTGTACTCTCTCTCAAAAATAAATATTTTAAAAAATGTAAAGAAACATAAAGGATATAGAGGATCCCTGCAGAAGGTCTAACATCCAACCAACAGGAGTCCTAGAACAAGAAGAGAGGGAAAAAGAAGGGGGGAAATGTCATTAAGGAAACATAGAAGAATTTCTTAGCTCTCAAGAACATGAACCTCTAGAATTAAGGTACCTATGTGAAGGACTTGAGCATCTGGGGGCACCTGGACACACACTGAAATTTTAGAGGAGTTAAAAATACAGAGATACATTTTTACCAGCATCTGGAGTTGAGGAGGAGGAGCTCTGAGAAGAGGCAGGACTACTGACAGGAGTGGCACTGGGGGTGGAGGTGCCTGAGGGGAAAGCTGTGAGGGCTAAGTGGGGAGGGATGCACAGTCTTAGAGTGGAGATCTTGTAAGTGGGGTCTGGGGGTGAGGATAGTTACTGTGGGAGGCAAGTCCTAATAGGGGGCTCGTTTCTAATGAGGAAGGGAGCTTTGAAATGGGGGATAGGTTCTAACTAGGGAGGGGATTCTTTTCGTTCTAAAATCTATACCAAGCTATAAAGTGTGTAATCAAGTGTGAACTGGACACAGAAGGAGTGGAAAAATTTATCTATTATACATCCAATTTTTGGATGTTATTTGAGAATATCCACACAAGGAAGTAAACCAAGAAAAGAGAGCCAGTAAATAGTGGATTCAGCCCAGCAGATAAAAGAAATCCCAGAATGGCAGTTATGCATCAGGCCTATGGAACATTCTCAACGGATTGGTACACAAAATGGGAGATTTCTAAGAGGGAGGTCCCTGTGAAGAAAGGGAAGTCCTAGACTAAATGGTATCACAGAGTTTTAATATGTAGGATTTTTAAAGTTTATTTTTTGAGAGAGAACACATGCACAAGTGGGGGAGGGTCAAAGAGAGAATCCCAAGCAGGGTCTGTGCTCTCAGCACACAGCCCAATGAGAGGCTCGAACTCACAAACCATGAGATCACGACATGAGCCAAAAATCAAGAGTCAGACACTTAACTCAGTTAAGTTAACTGACCAGGCACCCCTGGTACTAGAGTTTTAAAGAGGTAAGGATAAAGGCAAACAGTTCAACAAACAAAAACAAAGGCATTTATAAATTGTAGGGAAAACAAAAGCTCTTAAAAACAAACACACACACACACACTGGGTTTTCAGTTAGTAATATTCTTATCACACAAAGGGAGCATAGGTGATACTGTCCCTAAATTCACCTATTTTTTAAACAATATTGATTTTGAGAGAGACAGAGCACAAGGGAGGGGGGAGGGGCAGAGATAGAGGGAGGGAGGGAATCTGGGGGGTGCTCTGTGTGGAATCTTACACTGGGTCCGATCCCGTGACCCTGCGATCATGACCTGGGCCGAAATAAGGAATTGAACACACCACTGAGCCACCCAGGCACCCCTGAATTCACCTATTTTAGGTCAACCATTTAAACAGCTGAAAATAGCTACGGTGCTCACTTTACATCTCTTTTCCAGACACGATAGAAGTACGGCAACGGTCTCAGATGCTGCTAGCGTGTCAGGACAAGAAGGACACACTCAAGCTCTAACTGAAGAGAGCAACACAAGGCACAGAAACAGAACTAGGGAAAAGGTTAGAACACTACCCCAAGTGTTTCCAACTAGGTCGGCACCTGTTATAAAAGCCCTCTGGTGGCCTCAGTGACACCACTAGTACTCAAGAGGGAGCTATGGGAGGTCTCCACCAAGTAGGTAGCTAGGAAACGTCCAGTTGTCAAAGTCTGAACACCGTTAAGTACACGTGCAGGAACACTGCATCCACTGCACTGCAAACCACAGGTTTGTTTGCAGCTTCAAAACAGCTTATCATACACCAGCTCGGGGTTTGCTATAAACCTTCAGGCCTTCCAAAGTGCAGGAGCCGAAAGGTTGACTTCCATCTTGACCTCTTAGATCACCCCAAGAATACGCCCATCCAGAAGTACGTGTGTGGTCGACATACCCTCTGGAGATCCACCCAGAGGAAAAAGGGTGCCGCAATGGCAATGCCGTGTCTGCTCCTTTGCACCGTGGAGATGCCAGCAGAGCAGCAGCCGCAAAGAGATGCCTCGTTCAACCCGCTGCCTCCGCTAGAGTGAGACAGAAGTCACACTCCGCAGAACAGTGAGCGCTGCAACAGCTAAATACCCTTGATGGGCATCTTCCCTCGAATCTGCCCCTCCCCTTCCTCCCCTTTGTGTTCTGAGACAAGTGGCTTTCTTGCTTCAGTCATTGCTCCCCCGCCCTACTATGCAGCGCTAAGAAGGGAGCCACTCGTGGGACTCAACACACGGTAACAGGCCAGAGTCCTGCTTCAGGAGTTTTCAAGCTGGAGCCCTGGCTGGTATAGGAAGAACAGGAAGGTGTGGGGGTAGGGAAGAGCCCGCTCTCAAATAGAAAGGCTGCGAAAGGACACTTGGGCACTCTACAGTTAGGAGAGCATGAAGCAGAGGAGACAAAGTTGTTGAGGCCTTCAGAACCGCAGGTGTCCACCTGCTCAAGTACTGGCTGTTCAACTCCGATTCTGTGAGTGCCCCAAATCCCTTCAGCAAATCTCTTTTTTAGCTGATGCTCGTTGAAGACAGGTTTCTGTCACTGGCAATAATGAGGGTCCTGACAGCCAATACAAGAGCCAGCTTGGAGGATATGGTTTCAAAAAGGCTGGTTTAGCATTTCGGCTATTTTACACTTGATCCGACCAACATTTACTGAGTGCCAGTTATGTGCTGGGCAAGCTTCCAGACACTAGAAAATACAAAGACAGAAAACACACGGTCTCTGATCTCCAAAAATGTCGTCTGTTATAAGCGGAAACTTCGAGACTGTAATTAAGAGAACACTCATTCCACCAGGAGGACCAACATCTTATAAGACAAGATGCAGACAGATCACTAGTATTTAACATCTTGGAAAACAAGAACCAACTGTGTCAAAATTAGGTTGTCGAAAGAATCTTAAAACTTGTGAAGTGATAGAACACTGAAGACCGAAAAGCCAAAATATGTCACAATCTCAACAGTAGTGGCAGTAAGACAAGAATAGCCATTTTGCAGGCTCTAGGCCCTGAGCTGTCAGCACAGAGCCCTACACGGGGCTCGAACCCACGAACTGTGACATCGTGACCTGAGCTGAAGTCTGATGCCTAACTGAGCCACCCAGGCCTCCCAATAATGGCCATTTTAGACTCAAACACAGTCATTCCTAATCTGACAAAACACCCAAAACTTAGGAATATCTGGGAAACCATCTAAAAACTCATCAGGTCCAAAACACCTTCGAGACGGAGAAAGCTGGGGGGTTAGAGACAACGATGAGGAGCTGCCCTGCTGGATTTTTCAAGATCTGTTTCCAGGATAGACCCTGGAAGAACTGGGTCTCCACTAAATGGTACGACATGCCAGATGACACGACAGTCCAAAACGTCTGGCAAAAAGCCAGCAAACCTCTCTTCCTGCTGGACATTAACAGTAGCCAAATAGGAGAAGTATTCTGGCTCACGTCTCAGTTCAGAAAACCCACTAATACTTCAATGTCCCCGAAAGACCCAAAGGCCAGGGTCACTGGGTCAGAGCTTGTGATAAAGGCAACATTTACTTCTGATACCGACTGGTTGTTTTTGACAGGGCAGAGAACAACAGCTTTTAGATCACTTGCGAAAATGTCTGGGATGAATAGGCCTTTTCACTGCCTTCTTCTCTCCAATCTCTTTTGTAGAGAGATGTAGGTAGCAACAAAGGAGAGATTTATTACCATGAGCCCATTCGGCAGCTGTTTTCTTGTTGCTCCTTGTTTAACTTCTCTCAAGAGAGCTGAGTTATCTACCCAGCAAAGCAGGTGTTTAAGGCAGGTGATTTTGTTTCCATTAATTTTCTTAAGTAATAGTAAACCAGACTAGAGAATTATCTCATGAACTCACAGGGGAACCTTAACCCTGTGCCTGCTAAATCACAAGGCATTTGCTGCAGCAGGAAAGTTAGGTTGTGATCCCTGGTGGTTCCAACACCTTCAAATCTCTCCAACTGACAGTAAGCAGAACTTAAGAGTCACAGCTCATCCCTACTGCCCAACATCTGGATTTTGTCTTAACAATGTGTTAGACATAAAGTGATGCTGGAGGCTTCCAGGAAAAAACAGATTAAGAAGGGCATTACTCTTCATTGCAAAGCCCAGATAAACCATCACATTAATGACTATACTCAACAGTTTCATGTTCCGAGCTACTGGGAGGGAAAGGTTAACATAAAACATGGAAAAAGTTTTAAATTTTAAGGCTTAAGATCGCCTCCACCTATAAATTGAATCTCCAGCTCTGGAACTTTCCAATCTTCACCATGATCATCTTCATGAGAAGGCCTATGGTATATGCACTCTACACAGTCACTGTGCCATTAGCTTCCCGCAGGAACTTTCTACCCCTCCCATCTATACTCACTTGTAGAGTCCTATTCACTAGTGGGCTGAGGAGAACAACCATCCTTCCATATACTGGACAAAATCCTGAAGCCTTGCATGCTTCAGCCCTTTGATTACCTTCAATTTTCTCCTACTGTAGAGCCATTATCATAAGCAGCAAACATTCGGTGACACATTTCTTTCTCTTTATCTGTGTAGTCCCTGTAATAGCTGGAGACAAAAATACACATTAGAGAAAGTCTGTCTTTGTAGGAGGTGACATCTGGTGGCTAGAATACTCCACTCAGGTCCAGAAACATTGAAAATTCAGCAAGCCCTGAACTGAATCTGGAGGCGATGGAAGCCGGACGTGTAGGGGAACCAGGAGAGGCTCCCAGGGAAGGGCTGTTTAAGAAGCACATGGACAACCTGAAGTCCACAATCTGAGAAGATGACAACCTTAAAGGCTGGAGCCACTGTAAGGGCTACCAGGCTGAGTCTTCCCAAATGGCCTCATACTTGGTGACCTCAGATTTATCTTGAGATTTCTTTGCTAAATAATGGTCAGATTCCAAAATTTCTACATCGGACTTGTAAGTATCTTCAAAGGATACACTTATTATTTTTGGCACCTAGGTGGGACAGGATACTTTTAAAAACCAAAGAAGAGGGGTGCCTGGCTGGCTCAGTCAGTAGAACATGTGACTCCTGATCTCCGGGTTGTAAGTTCAAGTCCCATGTTGGGTGTAGAACTTAGTCTAATTACGTAATAAATATTTCAGTTTAAAAACAATCAGAAAAGAGATTTCTGGACAGTCTTAAAAGGCCTGAAATACAACAAATGGATTCAAGTGTAAGGGGTGCACACAGGATTTTTTTTTTTTTTTAACATCAAGGGGCTTCAACTAGCAATCCAGATTAAATGTTTAATGTCAACAGGAGTAGAGAATCTTACCAATAGAGAAGAACAAAAAAATAATACCTAAGAAACTGGACAGATTATTATGGACAACTCTTATTTATATGTTGATATAGTCAAAGTAGAAAACTTTGAAAGTAACTTCTGTAATCACAAAAAGCTACATTACTGAAAGACTGGTACTGGTATTACTTGAATAACAAAAAGTCACCCTCTGGGTATGAATTAGACCTGAAAGATCCACTGCAGATCAAACCAGGATCTACAAGACACATTTCTGCATTCTGTTAAGAACAGTGGTTTTCAGTTGTGGCAAGTAGGGGAAAGTATCTGAAGAACAAGACCTTTTCAAAAAATTACACTGGCCCGCCTGTTATAGAGTGCTTACTTTGGGGGTAAGGGGTGGGGAATAGGGAGATGGGATAGGATCCGGATTTGCAGTTTTGAAGTTTGTCCCAGGCTCCTCAGTGGGAGCTGTTTGGTTTAGCACTTCTTAAAGCCAGCTCTAGGGGGCACTGCCTTGTAACACGCTCCACACAACATTGCCAAATAGTCCTTCGCCAGGTGGACAGACATGAACCACAGCCCCAAGGCTCATCTCTCTCTCTTTGGTTCGTACTCCCGCAAACAGAGGTCTCACCTGGCCAGTTTCTTCAGCTCATTATTGATGTCATGATTGAAGGGCTGTTCCTTCTGGGCTCGGACTAGAAAATCTCGAGCCTTCTGATACTCAGTCATGATAAGACAGGCCTGTCAAAGGATGGAGTTTTAAAAACACACTTGGTTAGGAAAGACAGTGTTTTTCTAGGGCCCAAGTTGAACATCACCACTACCTTTTCTTGGGCATTCGTTCCCCAGTCCCTGCCCTCCAACACACCTGTCCGCACCGGAAGAGGGCCTTGGCATTCTTCCGGTCAATGATCAGAGCCTGTTCTCCATAACGCAGGGCCGTGGCGGGCCGCTCCAGCTTCAGGTATGTAAAGGACAGGTTAAGGAGGACAAGAAGCTTGGCTGCTTCCACCAGGTGCTGCTCTTCAGGGGGTGCTGATCGCCGGTGAAGCAGCAGCAAGGCCTGTGGACAAGGAAAATAGGTAGTCAAGAGGAGGTATGTAATCTTGCTATTAAAAGCCCTAAGAATCCAGAAAAAAAATGTATTAGAGCTAAAAAAAAAAAAAAAAAAAAAAATGAGTTCAAGATCAACACAGGAGAGTTAGCTGTAAGTCTATACTCCAACAATAAACAATCCAAAAATGAGGATGACAACTCCATTTACAATAGCATCAAAATGAAGTCACGATAAATTTAAAATGCAAGAACTGTGTATTGGAAACTACAAAACACTGTTGAAAAAAACTAAAGGCCTGGGGTGCCTGGGTGGCTCAGTCAGTTAAGCGGCTGACTTCGGCTCAGGTCATGATCTCGCGGTCCGTGAGTTCGAGTCCCACGTCAGGCTCTGTGCTGACAGCTCAGAGCCTGGAGCCTGTTTCAGATTCTGTGTCTCCCTCTCTCTGACCCTCCCCCGTTCACGCTTTCTCTCGGTCTCAAAAATAAATAAACGTTAAAAAAAAATTTTTTTTAAGAAAAAACTAAAGGCCTAAATGGAAATACATTCCCTGTCCATGGATCATAAGACTTAATAGGAAGGCAATACTCCCAAGGTTGATACGTAAATTCAAAGCAACCACTACCAAAATTTCAACAATCTTTGCAGAAATGGTCAAGCTGATCTGAAAGTTTGCATGGGAATTCAAGGGATGTCAAGTAGCCAAAACAATACTTAAAACAAGAATAAAAATGGAAGACTCACACTTTCAATTTCAAAGCTTATTACAAAGCTACAGTAAGCAAGCCAGAGTGGTTTGGACACACACAGATCAAGAGAATGGAATGGAGAATGTAGATTGAGAGTCCAGAAACAAACCTACACTTGTGTAGAGTCAATGGATTTTCAACAAGGGTACCACCCCCATTCAACAAGGAAAGAGTAGTCTTTTCAACAAATGGTGCTGGGACAACTGGTTGTCAATATGCAGAAGAGTGAGGTTGGATTTCCACTTCACACATATACAAATGCTAACAAAATGGATGATACACCTAAATGGAGGAGTTAAACTGTAAGACTCTTAGAAGAAAACAGATATAAATCTTTCTGACTTTGGATAATGGTTTCTTAGACATGACATGCAAAGCACAAATCACACACATAAAAAAGATAAGCTGGACTTCAAGTTTAAAAACTTTTGTGTTTCAAAGGATATTATCAAGAAAACAAAGAAAATGACTGAAAAAAGTCACTATAACCATCATTTACTGGTTTAAACTAATAACACAGTGGCTTACTGATGTCACTGTGTATGCCTATAGATGATTTTGTATTTTTGAATGAAAAGACACTTGTACATTCCTGAAAAGAAAAAGAATGTGAAATGACAACTCACAGAATCAGAGAAAATATCTGTAAATCATATTTAAGAAGAACCTACTATCCAGACAATATAAATAACTTTTATAAGTATAAGAAGAAAATCCAATTAAAAATGGGCAAAGAAGGGGCGCCTGGGTGGCTCAGTTGGTTAAGCGTCTGACTTCAGCTCAGGTCATGATCTCATGATTTGGGAGTTCAAGCCCCGTGTCAGGCTCTGAACCAATAGCTCAGAGTCTGGAGCCTGCTTTGGATTCTGTATCTCCCTCTTTCCTGCCCCCTTCCCTGCTCACACACTGTCTCTGTCTCTCAAAAATAAACAAACGTTAAAAAAAAAAAATGGACAAAGAATATGAACTGACATTTCTCCAAATACGACCTACAAATAGCCAATAAACACATAAAAAGATGGGCAACATCTTTTTAGTTATCAGGAAGTGCAGTCAAAATCATGAGATACCACTCCACACCCACTAGGATGCCTATAATTTGAAAGATGGAAAACAAGCATTGGTGAGGACGCAGAGTAACTGGAACCCTTGTATTGTTGGTGGGAATGTGAAATGTGAAATGTTGCAGCCACTATGGAAAATAGTTTGGCAGTATTTCAAAAAGTTAACCAAGGGAGTTACTACATGAGCCAGCACTTGCACTCCTAGGCACAAACCCAAGAAAAATGAAAACTTCGGTCTACACAAGAACTTGTACGCCAATGTAAAAGCAACATTATTCACAGTAGCCAAAAAGAGGAAACAACAACCCAAGTGTCCACCAATGAACACTTGGTGAATGAATGAACAAAACCCAGTTAAATCCACACAATATATTGTTCAACCTTAAAACGAATGAAATTTGGTATATGCTAGAACATGGATGAACCTTGAAAATACTATGCCAAGTGAAAGAAGCCAATCACAAAAGGACAAATATTGTAGGATTCCACTTATATGAGTACCCATGAGAGACAAATTCAGAGAAGCATGAAGTAGAAATAAAGATTACTGGGGCTGGAGGAGGGGGAGAATGGGGAGTTACTGTTTAATAGCTAAACAATGTTTGGGATAATGAAAAGTTCCAGAAATGGGCAGTGGTAATGACAGTTTCACAATACTGAATGTACTTAATACCACTGGATTGCATACCTGAACATAATCAAAATGATGAATTTTAGGTTTGCACATTTTTATCAAAATTGAGACAAAATTTTTAAAGAAAGAACAGAGTATTAATACACATTACAACATAGCAATATATTTTCAAAGTTCACCTAAGTGAAAGAAGCTAGACACAGAGCACCACACATTTGGGGATTCTATTTATGTACAATGTCTAGGAATAGGCAAATTCATAGAAACAAAGCAAAATAGGAGCGATCAAGGGGTGTTGAGGGATAGGAGAAGAACTGCCAACAGGTACAACGCTTCTTTTCAAGGTGATGAAACGACCTGGAATTATGTCGTGTTGATAGATGCACAACCTTATGAATACACGACAAACCACTAAACTGCATTTTAAAAGTGTAAACTTCATGGTATGTGAATTCTAACAATAGCAAAGGAAGAAAAGCGATGAAGACAAAGCCTGAGCAGTGTCAGAGTGACTCACAGGCAGGACCCCATTTGGAAGACGACAGCCAAACTGGAAAACACATCAGACAAAATGGTGCCGGAGGCACAGAGCCACCAGCCTTCTTTTGCCTCCCCTTTCATCTCCAAGCCCCAGGCATTTGTCACAGAAGTTTCTGTCCATTGCCCTCACACCTTCTGAATTGCTTCAGGTCTCCTATCACCGACCTGGATCTGTCCCCTAAACTCTGGCCCCATTCCTAAACGGAATCATGGGACAATCTGCCACCTAGAAACCATCTTCTACAGGCCACCTTTATCTGGCTGTTCTCACCAGTGAGTGAAACTGAAGTTAATACATCTCTTTGCCAGTTATTCCTGTTTAAAAATTTTTCTCAAATGAGAAAGCTTCAAGCAAGTCTATTCTTTGGTTTCCTTTGTCACTCATAAAACATCATCATCAGGTCTAGTTACTCAGTTTTGAAAATATTTCCAAAACTTTTATCTGCACAACTCCCACCTTCTGAAACACATTCCGGGATCCCTGTGGCAGGCTTAGCTGCAACACGCCTGAAGCAGTGCCTCACGTGGAATGGAAAATTCACTAACAAAAGTCTGTCCCTTCAACGTGTCCTGCATATGGTGGTGTGCTGGTAAATGTTTAACAATCAGCTCTTGGGGAAGGGGTGCCTTGCAGGGTGTGCCCATTCCTGTGGTGTAAACAGTTTAACCCTGGCCGATCTCAAGCGGCCAAAGTAACATTAACCAGCTCGTAAAACTTCCTGAGCCATTTTACAATTGGCTCTCACGAGCTCCTACACACTATCTGCGTGCTACCAACCTTCACGTCCTCCCTAAATATCACTTTTTTTTTTAATTTTTTTTCAACGTTTATTTTATTTTTGGGACAGAGAGAGACAGAGCATGAACGGGGGAGGGGCAGAGAGAGGGAGACACAGAATCGGAAACAGGCTCCAGGCTCCGAGCCATCAGCCCAGAGCCTGATGCGGGGCTCGAACTCACGGACTGCGAGATCGTGACCTGGCTGAAGTCGGACGCTCAACCGACTGCGCCACCCAGGCGCCCCTAAATATCACTTTTATAACCTCACTCTCCCCTTCCTTCTTCTTCATCAAGTCCAGACCCATCCGTACACATTTTAAGGTCTTCTTGAATCTGGTTACCTGAACTCTATTTTCCTGGTATTCTCCAAATGTAACCTGTGCTGTAGACTAAGTGACCACCAACTGGCCCTTGAACAGGCTCTTCTCACTTCTACACCTTTGCTCATCCTTTTCTCCTGCCCAGAATTATCTTCTGCCTCTTTCTCTGCCATTTCATCCTTCTAGACTCAGCTACCGTGCCATTGCTTCCAAGAAACCACTACCAGATGGGCTAGCCCACAAAGATTTTCCTCCTCTGAAAGGCTATAGTACTAGATACTACAGGGATTTCTTGGTCACTGGGAGTACCTTTGATCTCCCTACCTATGTTACCATTATGTGAAGCTAAGGACCCTGCCTAGATGGCACATCCCACATGAAGCTGAGCAAAAGGCTGGGAACAATGGCACTCAATCAACACCAATTTCCCGCTCTGAAGACGGAGAACATTTCTATCATGAGCAGGTAGCAAAGCCTGTGGCTGAGCAAGACAGACTTCACACTCACCTTTTAGTCTCTCTTGCCCTGTGGAACAGAAAGGCACAATCCAACAAGAACAAAGAACAAGAGAACTGGTAACAAGCCCAACATGTCAGAACAGATGGCAGAGTCTGACCAACCCAGCAGAAGGGAGCACCAATAAAGAAGGGGCTGGTATGCAGCTCAGAGCCCCAGGAACTGACAGAACGAGCCATCAGAGCTACTGTAGAAGTGGAGCTGAATAAACAGGACACGTTGAACATTGCCACTCACTCCCTGTCCCTATGCATCCAGATGGCCACTCCTCCCCACCACCTCCAGGATCATGGAGTCTATCTTCTGGAGAAATGGAATAGAACCAAAAGAGTTCTCGATTCAGGGACAGCAGGGGGCAGGAGGGAGGTAAACTGGTAACAGGGGTATTAGACGACTGTTTCACTAACAGCCGGAGAGGCCCTCTGTCCCGTTCCCCTGTTCGGCTCCCGGTGGCTCCCAGCACGCTGGTAGCCAGGCATTCACACAGGCAGGCGATGGAGAACAGAGTGGCTCCTGCGGAAACAAGTGAACAGAGACACGCGGGAGGCCAAGTGAGCACACTGCGACGTGCCCTACCAAGCACTTCCGATGCCTCTTTCCCATCCTAATGGGCAGCTGAAGATTGCAAGACATTTGAGGAAAGCGTCTATGGAAAAGACGGCCTCCTGTCTCCCAGTGGCTGTCCTCCCCTCTCCCATAGTAGCAGGATTTTTGGCTGGGCACACGTGCAATCGGAATATAGGGATTTGCTAGCTTTCCTTGCAGCTGCTGGTTATAACCAAAAGACAAGGTTCTGGAAAACATCACTCAGTGTGAGGGTCACAGGTTCATACTCTCAGCCCTCTCTTTTCCCTCCGGTGCTTGGAATTTAGAGGCCACCATTCTCAACCACAAGGCCCAGAGCTCTGCCCTACAAATGGGAACACAGAGAGATGGAAGAGTGCTCAGCATCGGAAACCATTACGGAACACAGCTACCAACCAGCCCTGCTTTACTCACCTCACGCCTTTCACATAAGAAACAGTATCACTGAGGGCGCCTGGGTGGCGCAGTCGGTTAAGCGTCCGACTTCAGCCAGGTCACGATCTCGTGGTCCGTGAGTTCGAGCCCCGCGTCGGGCTCTGGGCTGATGGCTCGGAGCCTGGAGCCTGTTTCCGATTCTGTGTCTCCCTCTCTCTCTGCCCCTCCCCCGTTCATGTTCTGTCTCTCTCTGTCCCAAAAAAAAAAAAAAAAAAAAAACACGTTGCAAAAAAAAGAAACACTATCACTGACCTAATGATAGGAGTCTGGGACCTACCACCAAACCTAAGACAAATGGACAATATCCAATGGGCAGGAAAAAAAAAAAAATCAGGCAGAAAAAGAATGGAGTTTTTTTTTTTAATCTGAAAAGCAGAGAGCAGAAAATTACAACCAATACTCAAAACATAAGAAAAGCTGATGTGTGCATGAAACAAGAACACAATGCTGGGGAAAGTTAAAAAAAAACAAACAAAAACAAATGAATGAACCATTCCTCAGACGAGATGGCAAATAGAGTCCAGGACAGCTCCCAGACAGTGGGATGGCAAAAGCGAGATGGGCAAGGACAGAAAAAAAGGAAAGTTGAGGCTCAATCCAGGAGGACTGACAACCAAGAGTCCCAAAAAAGAGAAGACAGAAACAAGGGCAAATTACCAAAGAAATAGATGAAGGAAGTTTCCCAGAACACAGGACAGGTTTCCTGAAAGATGCACCAGGGGTTCAATACCAACAAATTTTAAAAAACACAAACACCACTGTAAAATTTTAATGACGCTAGAGGAAGAAAGATCCTTACATCCTTACAGAGAAAAAAAGAAAAAGCCACATATAAAGGTACAGGAACCTAAATTTTATCCAGACTTCCTGACAGCCATTGTAAAGCTAGAATCAAACAATATTCTTCAAAATCTGAGGGATGATGGCTGCATGCTAGAATTCCTAGAATTCTATACCCCGTATGCCAACTGCTAAGTGTGAACTACAAGAATATTTTTGAAATGTAAGGATGTGCTCTATCAGCACAAGGGAGCAAGTGGAGAAAAACAACAGGAAGTCCACAAACAGAACCACAGGGCAGCCCAGGATAAGAACACTGAACCAGAACACCAGAGAGCAGAGGGAAAGCCCTAGCGGGAATTAGAGATCCACATTCCAGAACTAGAAGCAAGAGATGTTAAAAACAGGAACTAAAGCATGTCGAGTATCAACTCACAATGCCAGAAAAAGCAGCAAACAGGCTTAAAGAGGGACCACCTCAGGGGACCAGACCCGGGAAACAGGACTAACAATGGAAGGACTGGTCTGTTCACTGGAAAGTTCTTTCCCATGTGAGCAAGCTCAGTTTCAAAAAACTTTACAACATTAATAGTATCCACGATTTGAGCCAACTATGAACCCAAGCCTATACCCTCCACGTTTAGGACCCTGATTCTATCAGCATTCCGAAAGCGCGCACACACACACGCATTCTCCAGTCTCCGTGTCTCTCTCAAGCAATACGCAGAGACCGAACATGGCAGATACCTTTAGCCACCTACCCAATATCGATCTCCCTCCCCCTCTAGCAGAGCCTCTACGTCACCCAAAGCAGTGGTACACCAACTACATTTCCTAGCTTCCTACAGTCAATGGGGTCCGCTGAATATGGGTCTGGCCAAGGATATACAAACGAAAGTCACCGGGTTAAGGGAGTACTTCTGGAGAGCTCTTAACATGAACACACCACACTCTTCTCCTCTCCCTCCTTCCTGCCCAGGTGACCATGTGATGCTACAGGTTGAAGGACCATCTCGGGGCGAAAAAGACAAGGAGATGTTTGAGGGCAGTGGAGCAGAAAGACAAAAGGAACCTGAATCCCTGATGGCTTTGTGGAACTGATCTACCACCCTTGGACTGCCTCCCTTCTCATTTAAATAAAAATTAAATCTGAAGATTTAAGTTTTTCAGGATTCTGTTGCTTACAGCTGAATACAAATTCTGACTGATTTAGGCTCCCTTCGCAAATGAGAGAAAATCAGAATACCCCTAGACTCGCCTCTAGAACCTAGGGCACAGTTTGGCACACAGAAAATGCTTATAGTATTTGTTGAATGAGTTACAAAGCAAACAGTGAATTCCTGTCAGCATAACCTATGCAAGAAGCCAAACCACAATCAGAAGCCTGGTGAGAATGGAGTCACCTCAGAGAGCTAGAGAAAGCTCCACCGTCAGAGAGACAGGAAATGAAGATGGCAAGCGGGATGGAAAATCAGTTGGTAGGACCTAATCCTGGAATGAGAACTTTTAAAGACTTTTTACTGAAATACACACAAATGTACACACACAGGTCAAACAAGTGGACAGTTCAACAACCTTTCACAGTCTGTATACACCCACGTAACCACATCCAGACACAAACACAGAACATTACTGGGCTCCTCAAATCCCATGTCCCCTCTCTCAGTCATTATTCCCGGCATGAGGATTTTTTAATGAGATTTTTTTTTCAAAGACTGCATATGAAAAATAAGAACAAGAACATTTAAAAGTTTTTAGATTGTTTTTTTTTAGAGATGGGAAGAGAGCCATACGTGCGCAACAAGGTGCTTGCTTGCATGTGCTGGGGAGGAGTGGGGAGGAGGAGGAATAGGGCAGGGCGGGGGAGAGACTATCCCAAGCAGGCTCTACACTGAGGCGAAAATCATGACCTGAGCCAAAAAAAAAAAAAAAATACAAAATAAAAATCAAGAGTTGGACACTCAACTGACTGAACCATCGAGGCACCCCAATAACTTTGTAAAAACATTTTCAGGGATGCCTGGGTAGCTTTGTCAGTTGAATGTCTGACTCTTGGTTTTGGCTCAGGTTATAATCCCAGGGTTGTGGAACTGAGCTCTATGTCTAACTGAGCACGGAGCCTGCTTAAGATTCTCTCTGCCCTCGCCCCCAGGCCCCCATGCTCTCTCTCAAGGAAAAAAAAAAAGAGACCATTTTCAGGGTCTAAATTTAAAAATTTATTATTTTTGGTAATTTCTACACCCAACTTGGGGCTCAAACTCATGACCCCATGATCACGAGTTGCGTGCCCTTATGACTAAGCCAGGCAGGTGCCCCTAAATTTATGCTTGTGAAGCATCCTTACCTGTTTATACCTCACTTTGGCATCATAGAAACGACTTTGGCGGAAAAGATAGTTGCCAAACTCCCGTTCGGTAGCTGCCACTTTTAGGACCTTCTGAAGTGGAAACTGATCTTGTTGCTCCTGAGGAAAAAAGACAAGGACACCCAACAAGGAAACTGAAAGCCGTGACACCACAGTGCAAGTGTTCTTACAGATGTTAGGGTTTCTGCTGCAGATGACGCACTTCTGCTTACTGCTGTGTGGGTGCCAAGCACTGGGCCTGGTGCCCCTGCAGAGGTCGTCTCTGTGATGCCTGGCAGAAGACAAAGGGGGTTGCTATTGTTACTACTTCCACCGTAGACACCAGAGCCACACACTGATCTCCCTCAGTCCTTCTAGAGATGCTCCCTGAAGAAGCACGGTCTCACGGAATCAGAAACTGATGGAACTTGCCAAACAGAAAGCGGGTCTCACAACCACCATCTGTCCAACAAACATTTAAGAGATTTTGGTCTGCCCGGGGCCCTACTGGCCTTCATGGCCACAATGCTGTGCCCTGGGTACAGGTCAATCACCCACGAAGTCTCTTTTTTTTTTTAATTTTTCAACGTTTATTTATTTTTGGGACAGAGAGAGACAGAGCATGAACGGGGGAGGGGCAGAGAGAGAGAGGGAGACACAGAATCGGAAACAGGCTCCAGGTTCTGAGCCATCAGCCCAGAGCGTGACGCAGGGCTCGAACTCACGGACCGCGAGATCGTGACCTGGCTGAAGTCGGACGCTTAACCGACTGCGCCACCCAGGCGCCCCAACGAAGTCTCTTTTTAAACACAGATGTCCTGGCCCTATCCACCCCTTCCCCCACTGAGATTCTCAATCAGTACACCAGAGGTGGGGCCCCAGGCATTTGCAAGAACCAGTTTTATGGGAAGGTCAGAAAAAGGGAAGGGCCCTCCCTTGAGGCAATGACAGCTTAGCTGGGGAGACATCATATCCAGGTACAAACCTGGATGGACATCTAAGGACACACATACAGGGTGGGAGAGCAGGACTGAGAGTGCATATGGCACCCACAGGATGGGTGAAGTGAGAGGCCACAAAGAAAAGACAACATCTGAGTTATGAGGGCAGCGGTCATGTGTTCCCACTTGCCTGGGACTTTCCCCATCTACACCTGACGTCCTGGTATTCCATCTAGTTAATACTCTCTTCTGCTATCAAGTATCCGGGGTTGGCCAAGAAACCATATTTCACCCTAGCTGATCACTACTGATGCTTGACTTGTTAGAAACCCAACTTAATGTTGAGAAGCCAACGTTCATGGTCTTGCAGGGAAAACGAGGCAAATGAGGACTAAAAAAAATCACCTCAAACTGCGGGTCCAGAACAAACCCAAGGCCCAGCATTGGCCTAGAACATCTGCCCATACTCAGAGGTGTACCAGGAAGCGGGGGAACTCCTCCGCCACTACCACTGCCACACAGGAGCCTTGTGGTGGGACGTGGGGCAGACTATCACGATCGAGGTAGGGGAATTACCAAACACACTAGCGCATGCTATCTGTTAGTATGGATATCTGTGCTCCAGAACTTACAGCTGAAAGGGCACAAAACTTGTCTGACTCAGCGGAGTCCAGGAAGTCAAGCAGCTCAATCTCGAACAGGACAGTAGTGTTTGGGGGGATCAAGGGAGGGCAGCCCAGCATTCCATAGGCATAGGCTGGTTTGAACAGAAACCTGGCCAGCTCTCCTCTCCGCATGCTCAGAAGGCCCAGTTCCATGCCCCAAAGTGTAATATCTGGAAGAAGGGACAAAGAATCTGAAGCTCGCCCAGCATCCTAATCCAAGGTTATCAATTTCTTTCTTCCTAAAGTCCATATCTTTCCACAACAGACTCTGAGTGTTCTGCACTGTGGTCCCAACTCACTTTTCGGTTTTGTTTCCCCGCCACCCCCACTGTTGCCAAACCAAGACTTCCGTGGCCTCTACATCACTGCTCATGTTCCTTCTTCCTGCAAGGAAGTTCCTGCTTCCTCACCCCACACCCAGCTTCTACCCTGACTGAAATCTTACTCAAACTTCAAGGCTCATTTTACATACCCCCTCCTTCATGAAGCCTTCCCTGATCTTCTCAGCTGGAATCAATTGTGGCTTCATTAAACACTCCCGCAACACTACTTACACCTCCCAGGACCTCATCCAATTCTGTGAATGCAATCAATCTCTTCCACTACGTTAGTGGAGATAGTCTAATCATCTGAGTATCTCTTCTCTTTCCAGCATGAATTATGGATACTAAACCCTTGCTTGATTAAGTGTCCAGCTGACAAATGAACAAGCCCAATAGTTCTTGGGATGCAAAGGTAACCTTGCCAGGTAAACCATCTCTCAAGTACCTAGGCCTCGGGGAAATGCGGACAAGACCATGATTGGTGTAGCAAAGCCCGGTCTCAGAAAAACCAACTCAAGGACTCCATGCTCTGAACAGTTTCCCCAAACAATTCCTCCTTTTGTAGTTGCTAATCTCAACTTACCCTCTCCAAGTTTCATCAAGCGAGGAGTTTTCCTAAAGCAATTAGAATCAAAAGGCTTGTCCATGTGCTCCAGATATCCGGAATATTTCACTAGGACAGGAAAAAAAAATACAAGGAAAATCAAGAACATGCACCCCTCCATATCAATTCTCTGTTACAAAAAAAAAGGGAATTCGATGTGCTCAAGTCGCCTCCCACCCACAGTGATAGGAAAATCTTTGGTCAACATTTAGATGCCTGCCCTTTGGCTGTGAGATTCAAGAGCTTGGTTGTGAGGTTCAAGGGCCTCAGAATGTCCCTTGTTTACACTGGCCTCATGCAAAGGGGAGATGGGTTCCCTCGCTTTCCCTTAAAAGCCCGAATTGTTTGTTTTTTTAATTTTTTTTTTCAACGTTTATTTATTTTTGGGACAGAGAGAGACAGAGCATGAACGGGGGAGGGGCAGAGAGAGAGGGAGACACAGAATCGGAAACAGGCTCCAGGCTCTGAGCCATCAGCCCAGAGCCTGACGCGGGGTTCGAACTCACGGACCGCGAGATCGTGACCTGGCCGAAGTCGGACGCTTAACCGACTGCGCCACCCAGGTGCCCCAAAAGCCCGAATTGTAATAAAGCGAGCGGGGTCTACCCTTCTTTTGTGTGTGTTTTAAACCTAGCCTTCCCTCCCACCTTTCTAGGTATAAAGCAGAAAACACTTGATGACCGGTACTTTCACATCTCCTGCTGGGTGGCAGATGACGGTACCTAGCACGGAAGCATCGGGTGTCACCAGCTCTCCAGCACCCTCTCGGATGACATCCTTCAACACGCCCCGGTCCCCGGAAATGTCGCGCATCCTCCGACTTAACCTCTGGTATGGAGACTTGCGGGGAGAAACACAAAACCTCAGAGCGCCCCGCCTGCACCCCGACTCCGGCACCCCCTGCCGTGGCTCCCCAAAGCCCAGCCTCTCACCTGGCCGGAAGCGTTGTCCCCTTGCAGGGCCCCTGGGTTCCGCGCGCTGCCCCCCATCGCCACGTGGCCTGCCGACGCGCACGAGCCCTCAACCCCTCGTTCTCCACCTGGCGGTGGCCCAGCCACCCCCTTTATACCCCGCCGCCCACTCCCGCCGGTGGCGTCCAGGGGCCGCGAGGAGGCGCTCAACGTTCTGCACCAACAGCTGCCAACTGCCCTGGCGCCTCCGGTGGTGCGTGGTGGATCACGTGATGGGACGTGCGACACGTGATGGGGCAATGTGGTGCCTGATGGGGCACGTGGTGGGAACACGCGGGGCGGGACCAGGCTCGTGAAAGTGACGCGTGGGGCGTGACCGGGCAGGTGGAGGGCATGCGCGGAACTTGATGGGCACGTGACAGGGACTCCCGGAGCCGGATGTGTGCGAGCATGATGGAAGATGGGGCGGTGCCGCGCTGGGAGAGATGGAGCCCCTTGGCGGGGAGAAGTGGATCAGGAGGAGGCGCGTGAAGGGGACGCCTGTGGCAAGACGGGGCGCCGGGGGCGCGCGTGGGATGGCGCGGGAGATGGGCCACGCGGGTGGTCGGGACTGGCAGTGGCTCGGGACTTGGTGGGGTTGGGTGGGGCTTGTGGTGGGACTCGAGGCGGGAGCAGGCTGGGGAGGACGGAGTTCCAGAAACAGCCTGCTGCCGGAAGTGTGCGGCCTTGCTAAGTGGGTTACCTCCACTTTTTCAATTTTCCTCAACCTTTTCGTGCTAGAGAAATGTAGACGCAGACAGGCCTTTCAAGTCAAACTGCCTCGTTCGTCAGAGAACAAGGCAACGTTGTCCTTCACGTTGCGGTCACTAAATCCACAGAATCCATACCTGCTCCCCCGTGGTGGGGGCGGGGGGTGCAAAGCACGAATGGCCCTTGACGTCACCCGCTCCTGCTTTTTCCCTGGGGCCTGCAGCTCTTGCCCACTCCAGGATTTGAGAGGTGGCCCCTCTTTCCTGCACCCATCATGCCTTGACTATTGGATCATTTCTTCAGCTTCTATGTTTCCTAAAATCACCCCCACCTTTGTCCCACATCTCACTCCTGTTGCAGGTGGTCCCATGCCTAGTCTTCTCGACTTCTCAAAAAGAGTTGTTGGGGTGCCTGGGTGGCCAGTTGGTTAAGCGTCGGACTTCGCTCGGCTCAGGTCATGATCTCACCATTTGTGGGTTTGAGCCCCGTGTGGGCCTCTGTGCTGACAGCTCAGAGCCTGGAGCCTGCTTTAGAGTCTGTGTCTCCCTCTCTCTGCCCCTCCCCTGCTCGCACTCTTTCCTCTCTCTCTCTCTCAAAAATAAGCATTAAAAAAATTTTTGGGGGGGACGCCTGGGTGGCTCAGTCGGTTAAGCGGCCGACTTCGGCTCAGGTCATGATCTCACAGTCCGTGAGTTCGAGCCCCGCGTCGGGCTGTGTGTTGACAGCTCAGAGCCTGGAGCCTGTTTCAGTTTCTGTGTCTCCCTCTCTCTGACCCTCCCTCGTTCATGCTCTGTCTCTCTCTGTCTCAAAAATAAATAAACGTTAAAAAAGAAATTAAAAAAAATTTTTTTAAGTTGCTATAGAGCGTTTTTCAATTATTTTGTCTCTACTTCCTTATCCTCCCTTTTCCCTTCAACCCACCGCAGTACCACTCTCCCCTGCTCCATGTCACCAAGACTGCACTTCATGTTAAATCCATAAGATAGTCCTGTGTCCTCAGATTCCTGGACTCTTGTCAGCATTTGATGAAGTTGGTTCCTCTTTAAATGCTTTTTGTCCTCTTCTGTATCAGTTTCCTATCGTCACCATCAATTACTACAGATTTAGCTGTTCTGAGCCACAGATATTTATGATTTCATGTATTTGTCATCAATTTTGTAGGTCAGAGACACCAGCCAGTCTCAATGAACTAAAATCAAGGCCTCAGCCTTAATACAGGCTCTGGGGAAGAATCTAAAGCTCATCCATGGTGGTAAACCTAGATCCTTGTGGCTCTACACCTGAGGTCCCCACATCCTTGCTGTAAATTGGCCAGGGGGCCACACTCCACTCACAGAGGCCTCTCTCCCATCCTTGTTCGTGGCCTTTCTACACATTGGAGTTAGCAACAGCATGCCGAATCTTCTCAGTCTTTGTGATTCTTGCCTGAGAAAGTTCTCTAGTGTTCAGGGTCAATTGGATCTGCTTCCATATTCTGATTTTCTTCCTGTCTGTCTGGCTGTCTCTTCTCAGTCATCTTCTTGACCTGTATACACTAACAACCTCAGGGCCCTATCCTTGGACCCTTGCCCTTCCCTGTTTTTAAGTTTTTTTTTTCTTTTGATTTTGAGAGAGAATGTGTGAGAGAGCACACAAGCTGGGGAGGGGTAGGGGATGGGGGACAGAGGATCTGAATCAGGCTCTGCTCGGCAGAGAGTCTGAGCTGAATCAGCAAAGAGTCTGATGTGGGGCTCGAACTCATGAACCGTGAAATCATGACCTGAGCCAAAGGCAGATGCTTAACTGACTGAACCACTCAGTTCTCTGTTCTTCTTATTTTTTAATGTTTATTTACTTTTGGGAGAGAGAGAAGGAGACAGGATCCGAAGCAGGCTCCAGGCTCTGAGTTGTCAGTACAGAGTTGTGTGCGGGGCTCAAACCCATGAACTGTGCGATTGTGACCTGAGCCAAAGTCCGGAACTTAACCGACTGAGTCACCCAGGCGCCCCAGCCCTTTTCTGTTCTAATCCCAGAGAGATCCCAGCCATTCCCACAAGTTTAAATATGTGATGTAAACAGGTGGTATATACCTGGCCAGCCTAAGGCCTCCCCTGCACACTAGACCTCCAGGCTCCTGTGCTCAATTGCCTTTTTCGGTGGTTCTCAAAGTGTAGTCCCCAGACCAGCAGCAGTGTTGTCTGGAAACTTGTTAAAAATGCAAATTCTTGAGCCTATCCCTGTGCTCCTGAATCAGAAACTTTGGCTAGAGCCCAGAAGTCTGTATTTTCACAAGCACCCCGAGTAATTCTGTTGTTTGCTGAAGTCTGCAGACCACTGCTACTCAGGCGTCCTTGGGCATCTGACTCTAGATTTCCCAGGTACATTTTACCTTGATCTTTCCTTATCAGCCTTCACGATCCATCCACTCAGGCGCTAAAGTTACTCTGATCCATTATCTACAAGTGGCCGGAGTGGTCTTTTAAAAATATGTCAGATGATATTCCTTTGCCTTAAAATCCTCCTATAGCTCCCAGTGCCCTTGAAATTCAATCTGAACCTTTGCCCTGCTCCAGGGCCCTCTCTACCAGCCCCTCTGACCTGTTCTCCTGGTGTTCCCTCTCACTACGCTCCAGCTACTTGGATTTTCTCTAGTATATCTTCTAAATACTGGGCTCTTTCTAGCCTCAGAGCCTTTGCATTTGCTGCCCAGGCCTGGTCTGCCCTCTTGTAGTTCTTCAGGCAGTTGGCATGTTTGTATCCTTCGGGTCTCAACCATCCATCCTCAGAGACACTGTGCTGCCCCTTTCTAAAGAATCTAAAGCTCATTCATGTTGGTAAACCTAGATCCTTGCAGCTCTACACCTGAGGTCCCCACATCCTTGCTGGGAATTGGCCAGGGGGCCACACTCTGCTTGCAGAGGCCTCTCTCCCGTCCTTGTTTGTGGCCTTTCTGTCCCTCAAACAACCTATTCCCTCCTGCCATTCTTTCTCAGCACATTGTTTCCTTCCTGCATCACATTAAATCCTATGATGTTTTCTTGTTGATGATCCTACCTCACTCCTACTACGGTTATATTACAAATTTTGAAAGGACAAAAACCTCATCTGTCTTGTTCCCTGATGTTTCCCTAATGCTCAGCTTGCTGCTTGACACATATCAGGTGCTCCATAAATGTTTGTTGAATTAACAAATCAAATTAGCCTTCAACATGCCTGTGCCAGACTTTGGTCTTGCTTGTCATGGGGTAGAGATGGCCCCTACTGGCAGACAGGGATGCTTAGGTCTCTGGGAGTTGTGTCTTACTGGTCTAGAGCTCCTTGGTTCTTTCCTTTGTTTTTTTTTGGTGTTTATTTATCTTGAGAGAGAGAGAATCCCGAGCAGGCTCTGCACTGAGCACAGACAGAGCCTGACTCGGGACTTGAACTCATGAACCATGAGATCATGTCCTGAACTGAAATCAGTAGTCAGACGCTCAACCAGCTGAGCCACCCAGGCGCCCCTTGAGCTCCTTGTTTCTTAACACTCCTGGAGAACTGCTTCCATCTCTTCCTTTTCAAATCAGTAATTTTTTTATCCCACCTCCATGATATGCGTAGCATTTTCTGACTGTAATATTTATTAACTGCATAAAGAAATGTCGTTAGGGACACCTGGGTGGCTCAGTCGGTGAAGTATCTGACTCTTGACTTCGGGTTCAGGTCATGATCTCACGGTTGGTGGGATCGAGCCCCACATTGGGCTTTGTGCTGATAGCGTGGAGCCTGCTTGGGATTCTCTCTCTTCCTCTCTCTTTCTGCCCCTCCCCTATTTGCGTGTGCACACTCTTTCAAAATAAGTAAATTAGCTTTAAAAAAAAAAAGCCATTGAACTCCTAAACCTTTGAAAGGCTTTGTATAAAAAGGTTCCCAATTCAATGGTATTGAGTAATGGTATTAATGGTATTCAATTGTATTGGAAGCGAGACACGAAAGAGCACAACCTAGATTATTCTGTTTATTTGAATGTCAAAATAAAGCTATATAAATCTACGATGACAAGAGTTAGGGGAATAGCTATCCTTGCCAGGGGCTTCTGACTGGAGAGCACATAGTGTCTTCTGGTGCTGGAAACATTCTGTGTGTTGATCTCGAGGGTGAGTAAATGTGTGAAATGTGTACATTAAGTGTATAGTTAAGATATGCATACTTTACAGAGGTCCTGTCTCAAGAAGTTGAATAAATAAAAATGTCTTCAAAAAAATAGATTCAGAAAGAGTTGTGTCAAAACATGAATCCACTCCTGTTTGGGGTCTGTAAGGTGTGGCTGGGGGACCACTCCTCTGTCTCCCCCGCTTCCCCGAAGTGTGGCCAAGGTGAGCGTCTGAATGTTGGAATTATCAACGTTGCCAGCTGAAGGAGGCTGCCTCCTCTGTCTCGTGATGTGGCCCAGTTTCCACCTGATTCTGGGTGACCTTGAGGACATAGGAGTGTTGCTGGGAAAGGGGAGGAGGAAAGGGGCAGAGACAAAGGGTGGAGCAGGCGGTCAGCTACAATCCCCACATCTGTTAGTGCCTCTGTCCCAACCTGGGGAGAAGAGAAGGTAGAGCAGATCCAGCGAACGTCTCAGTGGATTGTGAGAAAGCAGGTAGTTCGTTGTGGGGGCCCTCCCTGGGTCCGTGGCCAACTTGCACCTGGTGCTTGTCCTCTCTCAGTGCCGATCATTTTGCACAGGGAGTGGGTGCGAATTTAGGAGGCTATCCTCCTCGGTCTCCGACTCTCCAGAACAGTGTTGTTAAGACAGCACTCTCTGCTTTAGAATGACCTTGGGGAGGGAGGGTGCTATTGTAAATGCAGATTTCTGGGGCTCACTGAATATGTGTGAGGGGCTGACGCAGGAATCGGTTGTAATTGTGCTTCCAACAGTTGCTCGCCAGTTTTGAGGACTGATCTAGAAGGTGGCAAGGACCTTTGCTTGTTTTTGCTGTCCAGTTCTGAGTCAGTACGCCTACTGCGGCTGGAGGGCACATTGTTGGTGTCACTCCAGATGACCCAGCAGACGGCCCCTTTTGTGTTTACCTACAAATTGGGGCGAAAAATGTAGAATCCTATATCTACAAGTGATTCCCCCCCAATTAAGCCCTTTATTTTAAAGATAGGAAAGGGGCACCTGGGTGGCTCAGTTGGTTAAGTGTCCAACTTTGGCTCAGGTCATGATCTCAAAAATAAATAAATTAAAAAGAAAATAAAGATAGGAAATAGGCCCAAGGTCATAGGCATTGGGATTGGAATCCAGGACTGGAGACCCTAAAGCGCTCTAACTTCCCAGTGGCACTTGGCGGGGGGATTGGGGGCACAGTGTGGAGGGAACAGACTTGAGAAAGCTGCCCTGTGTTCTAGCTGGCACCGTGGATGGCGTGGCAGGTGAGCGTGCCCGAGCTGGAGGACCGCCTTCAGTGCCCCATCTGCCTGGAGGTCTTCAAGGAGCCCATGATGCTGCAGTGCGGCCACTCCTACTGCAAGGGCTGCCTGGTGAACCTGTCCCACCACCTGGACTCGGAGCTCCGCTGCCCAGTGTGCCGGCAGGAGGTGGATAGCAGCAGCTCCCCACCCAACGTCTCTCTGGCACGGGTGATCGAAGCTCTACAGCTCCCCGGGGACCCGGAGCCCAAGGTCTGCCAGCACCACCGGAACCCGCTCAGCCTCTTCTGTGAGAGGGACCAGGAGCTCATCTGCGGCCTCTGTGGCCTGCTGGGCTCCCACCAGCACCACCGCGTCACGCCTGTCTCCACCGTCTACAGCCGCATGAAGGTGGGCTGCGGGGGCTGGGGGGGGGGGGGGGGAGGGGGGGGCGCCCAAGGAGCCCAGCTCCTGCGCTCTCTGGCGCCATCGCCTGGCACAGAAGGGTCCCAGGCCAGGATGCCGGTGCCCTGCAGCCCTGTCCTGGAGCTGAACTCTGTAGAGTGTGTTCTCAGCAGCTCCAATCTCCAGGTGCTGGGCACTGCAGACAGGCATGATGGAGAGTCCTTGTGGAGTGCTAGCCCCTTCCCTCGCTCGGTTTTTCTTCGCAGCTTTCATCCATTTTTTGAGTGCTCTCCCAGACTCCACATGAGGGAAAGCACTTTGTTTCCTTGGGTATTTTCATGCCTAGAGCCATGACTAGCATGTAGTAAAAGCTAAAAATGTATTTGTGGAAACAGTGGATTCCTGCCCTCATGAACTTAGATTTAGCACGTCATTATTTAAGATGAATAACGCTGATCTAAGATTTGTGAAAGGTGGGGTTCTCACTATATTTTACAAATGAGGCTCAGAGAAGCCAAGGGTCTTAACCCAAGGTCATACAGCTTGTCGGTGGCAGAGGTAGGACACAAACTGGCCAGTTTTCTTTCCACTGCCAACAGATCAAAAGAGGCAGGAAGGATCCTGGAAAGTGAATTCTTATAGGGCACCTGGCAGAGTGTTTGGGAGGAAGGGAGAGTAAAGGTAAGGAATGACAAAATACAGGTGATAGGGGTGGGGAAAAAGAAAGAGCATCCAGATATGAAGGCAGAGGGGTCCCCTGTCACTGTTCCTGGGATTTCCTGGCTGAGTGAGCAGCGTTTCTTTGCTCTTGGAACCCTGGGAGACAAGTATGAAATGTGCACAGGACCAGCCAGGCCATCCACCAGACCCTCTGACCCACAGACATGTGCTTGGCACTTAACCTGTGCTAGATATGCTAGAGCACATGGTACAATAGTGGGTAAGTGGTTTGGCCTGCCCCGGGGAGCTCACAATCTGGGAGTCTGACGGTCCCCATGTGTTGGGTGCTACCGTCAAGGTTAAATACAGGCAATCGTGAGGCCATCTGGACTGTAGCTCCTGCATGCTCTCAGGTAGTCAGGGAAGGTTCTCTGGAGGAAGTGGACTGCTAAACCAAGATCTGAACCACAAGGAGGACGTGGTAGGAAAAAAAGGGGAGGAAAGCATTCCATGTATAAAGACAGCCCTGCAAAAGATCAGGAGACCTATTTGAAGAATTATAAGTTGTTCTGTCAAGCTCTGGAGAGAGGTAAGCAGGAGCCAGGTCTTGCAAAGGCTTCTGTGAAATGTGAAGGGATCTGTAGTTTATTCAGAGGACCATCATGGTGGGGTCTCCGGAGGGTTTTAAGCAGAGTGGTGATGTGGTCCAAACACTGCTGGGGGGTAGACTGGAGACTGAGGCTGGGGATAAAAGATTGGGAGAATTACATATGGGTGGTAATTGAGGCTACGGGAGTGGAGAAGACCAATCAGGAGAGTCTGCAGAGTGATAGGGAAGATACGGACGATGCCCCCAAAGGACACCAGGGTTTAAGATTTGGGTAGAGAAAGAACCCCAAAAAAGGACAGAAAGAATCAGCAGAGGGAACAGGAACACTGGCTGAATACGACCTCCTGGAGATCAGGACAGAGCGTTTTAATGAGAACAAGATCACTTGTGTGAAATGCCTGCTGAGGATTGGAAAGAGTCTGTTAGGTTTAGCAGTAAGAATTGATTATCTTGGCAAGAGTCGTTTCAGTGGAGTGTGGGAGGAGGAAGCCAGATTGCAGTGCAGCGAGATCGAGAGCCTGTGTTTTATTAGCCCTGGAGAGAAGGAGACACACAGGAGCTCACTCATCATTTCTGGCTTGGAGCCGGGGACGGCTTGGGTCCTGGTTTTGGAGGTGGCTGTTTGAGATCCCAAGACTCTTTGCTGTGATACCACTAAATTATGTTCCTTTATTAGATCCCTTTTATGCATGCCTCTGTTGTCCTCCTGTTGATTGAGATCTTGAGATTATTTATTTGTGTGTTTCTGTTTACTCTCACTGTGACCCAGTTGACGAAAAGAACTAATCCCATCTCTCTCTGCCTCAGGAGAGTTCCTACTGGAATTTCGTTCTCGGGCTGTTCTGAGATCTTCTGATGTCTTGTTTTCTAGAGCAAGACTCTGTGTCCATTTATCCCTACACTGGTTTTATTCTTTACTCTGCTCCTTTCCTGAAAGCCTCTTGCGGCTGATTTCTTTTTTTCTTTTCCTTAAGTTTATTTATATATTTTTGGTAATCTCTATACCCAATGTGGGGCTTGAACTCACACCCCCATGATCATCAGTTGCCTGCTCTTCCAACCGAGCCAGCCAGGCACCCCTCTTGCTGCTGACTTCTGCTTGGGAACTGTCTAAGCCAAAGACTTGTACGCTCCATGGGCACAAACCAGCACCACTCGAGTAGTGCAGCTGGATGGGAGTCTAGGTGGTCCTGGTTGAATCTTTAAGACTCCGTCAGATTTGGGGCCAGGAAGGCCAGGAGAAGTGCGTTTACTTCAGCCTGGGGAGGCCCAAACCTGCCAGCGATTGAGTCAGGTCTTTATAGGGATTGGGGAATCCCCAGGTATAACCTGGGCTACTGTATGCACCATTGGCCTCACTTGGGAGTCAGCCTTTTTGTGATGCTCTTGATCACATGCCCACTGATTCTAGATCTGCTGGTGACCAGACAGTTTATGTGGTCATCCAGCGTTCTGTTCAGGGAGTGTGGGCTTCAGACCGGTCATCGCCCCCCTTGGATGTTGTGTGGTGACTTCCAGGTAGTTGTAACAACGTTTAGGGTCTGTCTCCATGTCCTGCAGAGGAATGACCTGGAGATCCTTTTCTGTCTGGGTAATTCCTGCCCTCGATGTGGAATATTCTTGAATAATTTCACCTGTTTTGGAGTCAGGAGTACCCGGGTAGCCCTTTCCCTGGTTCCACTGGGAGTGCTTGTGGCCACTGGGATGTCCCCTGGATGGGTGAAGCCCAAGGCTGGCCCCAAGGAGCTGAAAGCGTGCAGGGGTCAGCTACTCATGAGGCCGTGGTACATTGCCTCCAGGAGGAGCTAGCGGCTCTCATCTCTGACCTGAAGCAGGAGCAGAAGAAGGTGGATGAGCATATTGCCAAGCTGGTGAACAACAGGACCCGGATTGTCGTGAGTGCCCTTTCCCTCTGTGCCCTTAACCCTGGGGCTGGTCACCTTCCCTTTCCTGCAGAGCACAGTTGTGATTTGTCCTTTACAGAAACCCATGCTTTCATATAAAGCCAGAATTCAAAGCATTGCAGGGTGGAGTGGGGAAAGGGCAAATCCCCTCAGGGGAATCAACTCAGTTGTCAGGACTCTGTCCAAATTGGCTGTGTCCCTCTTGTCCTTGGGACTGAGATAACACAGAACCTAAGTACCAGATGTAAACAGCTCAAAGTGTGGGCATGACTCTCTTGGGGGGGGGGGGGGGGGGGGGG